TCTGTCAACCTAAGCGGCTGGAGATTGGAGTGAGGGAAGGGCAGCAAGGCTAATTCTCTGCCTCTCTGCTTAAGGGGGAATCTTCAGCAGTGGCTGTTCCTCCACGATTCTAGTTCTTTCTAGACATCCCATTCTTGCCACCAGTTCTTTCTTCTTTGATCTCAGTTCCCCTGGAAGCCTCCAACTCCTGCCTGTGGCCCTTATTCCAGAGTTCCAGCTCCCGGCTGGTGGCCCATTCTACGTGGCTCATCTGGTGGTCCCAAGGGCAGCCCCTCACCGAGGTTTCAGCTCCCTACTGATGACTCTGGCTTCTAGACTCTGATATCAACTCTTCCTCCCTTTGTACCTCCAGTTTTAGGGGTAACAGCAGCTTCTTGCAGATGGGTTATCTCTGGGTACCTCATCTTGCTGTGTTTTCAGCTTTTCTGAAAACTCTGTGACTAGTTTGTTGAGTTAAATTCCCACACCAGTTCTGCTTTCCAGGCTGAACACAGACCTGATAGAGTCATCAAATGACAGGTGGAGTACATCCAGCTCATTAAAAAGTAATAAACAAGTTGAAAGGAAGAGGTTGGGTGAATGAAACAAATCTTAGTTTTAACCGAATACAATAATCTTATGCATACCGTGAGAACTTTTTCTTCTGAACTAATCATCACAATGAAATTTTGATGTGGATTCTGTGAGAATATCAGCTAAAAGAAGGCATTTTAAAACTGGTACAGTTTGCTTATTAATTAGTTCCTGACTATAAAGTCAGATCTTTTCACTATGGTTATTTGTAGAATATTTTTGCCTAAATCTCTTCTCTTCATGGAGAATAGTTTAGACTACAATTAGCCAGGAAATAAAATAGGAGAGATTTTTAACAGATTTCCCAATAAATCAATGTGTTAATCATTTAGGAGGAATGAGTAATTTCCATTTAAAATTTAGATAGACTCTGTTCTGAACACATCACTGTGTGTCTACATCTACGGCATTAATAGAAATGAATGCATTGACGAAGATATATAACATACCCTATTGTTAATTGGGATAACTTTCCATATGCAATTATTTTCCAGCATTATTTGTATGAGTACAAATGAAAATGATTTCTATATCTTGCAGTTTGGGTGCATGGAAGGCTTCTGTAAAGCAGGGGATGGATGGCCAGGAGAGCCTGGCTGGATGGTGGGCACACACAAACACACTGCCTTTGTGCTGCAATGAGAGGCATGAGCCCAGGTGTGTGATGCAACACATATAATGTGGGTAGATTTCAAATTCTTCACTTGGAAGAAGCTTGATAGTATTCTGACAATATTTCTGGAAATATAATGAGAAAAGTGACCCCCATCGAAGATATAAAGGCAGGCGGAAAGGCAGGGATGTTGGGGCTTCCAGTTTAATTGTAATTATTTTAATTAAATAACCACCATTTATTGAGTACCATGCTACATTCAAAGTGTCGTAGATTTTAAATACACTAATTCATTTAATCTTCATAACTGATAAGGTAAAATTATTTACAATTTTCGAGGGAAACATTATTGCCCTTATCTTACAGATGAGAGAACTGAGGATCAGAGAAGTTAACTAACTTGTCCATGGTCAGATGGTTAGTTGAGTGGAAAAACCAAGATATGAAAGCAGGACTTCCCGACTCCAAAGCCGTTGTACTTTCCACTGTTCCGTATAGTAAAACATTCCTATTTTATCATTTGCTCCTTGGATAGCAAAGATGTCAAGTGACACATCAATAGCTGAAGCAAGATGTGGTAATAGAGTTTATTATCATGCACACACAAAAATTCTAGATGTGGTGTTGCTTACTGTAGTAGGCAGAATAATGGGCCCCAGAGAAGTCCGCATCCTAATTCCAGGACCTGGTGAATACATTTTGTTGCGTGGCAAAAGTGACTTTACAGATGTGATAATGTAAAGGAATTTGACATTATCCTGGATTGTTCAGGTCAGCCCAACATAATCACAAGAGTCCTTATAGGAGGGAGACAGGAGGATGAGAGTCAGAGAAAGAGATGTGACGATGGAAGCAGAGGTCAGAGTGATATGAAGAAAGGGCCATGAGCCAAGGAATGTGGGGAGCCACTAAAAACTGGAAAGGACAAGGAAACATTCTCTCCTAGAGCTTCCAGAAAGAATGCAGCTCTGCTGATCCATTTTAGACTTCTGATCTCCAGAACAGTAACATAGTAAATTTGTGTTGTTTTAAGCCACTAAATTTGTGGTAGCTTACAGCAGCTTTTGGAAGCTAATTCTCTTACTTTACTTGTTATGTTTATATTATGGATATAAATAGACCGTGGGGTCTCTATTTGAGTATTCTATATGGATGCACGTTTCATTATCCTATTTTATCACCATGACAGTAAACTAATTGGAGACAAATCAAATATCTGCATCAATAATTGCATGGGTCAATATGCTTCTGATAATGGGGAAATTTGAATAAATAGGTAATCTCACCTAACAATAAAGAAAGTGGTTAATTCCATTAGACAGTCAGCTAATGACACTGTTACAGATAAACTTCTGGAGCTGTGTATTAAGTTAAATATTCCAACTAGAGACAAAGGAGAGGAACTCTGTGGCTGAAGGAGGAGAGATTCAGTTGGGGTGTAGATGATGCTGGTCACCTCCTGAAAGGTTCTTGACCAGCCACGGGAAACGTTCATGATGTCTTTCTGTGTGTCACTTTTCTCATGATATATTTTCACCTAGAGGGCCTCATGCGTTAATACAAGGAATTATACAGTGGTCATTAACTTTCTGTTGCTTCTAAGACACAGTGACTGGCTTCTTTGTGGCATATAAACACAGCTAAATTTTGGACTGATTAGGTGCCAGGCTTAAAACAAGGCCTAATTGTTTCAGCAGTAGAAGCAGCACATGGCACCTGCAAGTCCTTTATTGACAGTTTGGTGGATCCAGAAGGAAGCAATGCCCATATCCTTACCCTTCAACACTAGGTCCCAAGAAATAACACTCACAGAGCACAGGAGTCCTTCAGACTGATTGTGGCTGGTTGTGGATATGAAGGCGATGGGTGCCCTTGGATCAGAGTTTGGCTGGATGGGGTCCCCACCAAAAAAATTGAACGTCTCATTTTAGAGATGAACAATGATACGAGTCATAAAATTCTAGTTGAATTCTCAATTTGCATATTTTGAAATACAACGTGTGGAGCACAACATTATATGATGGGGGATTTAAAAACGACTCAATATTGTGTTTAATTATGAAAACTTAATCTTCTGTAAAGTTTGACACTAAATTTGTATCAAAGGACAAATGAGTTTTATTAATCTGTAGATCTTAAGTACACGAGAATAAATGTCATCGTGCAGTAGTTTTAATGTGTGAGGCCAAAATTAGAAAAATTTATCGAGGAAAAATACTAATTTTTTTAAAAAACTTATTTTAAATATGTGGTCTATGGAGTTAAGCAAGTTATGTAATGAATCTATTTTATTTTTTCATTTTTGCGGGGATGCACGAGAGAGAGTCAAATGAAAGTGATGGCCACCAGGCCATTACAGATATTAACTACTGCCACTAATAGTGGTGGCCAGTGTCAAGCAACATCATGAGATTTCAAAGCAGTTTTCTTCCTGGTACCTTAGTGTCTGATTGGTGAGATCCCATCTCACAGGTATGTAGTTAAAATTCATGGAATGGGAGTCAAACTTGACCCTTTATCAGACCTTATAGCAGACATTTGATGAAGTACTATCATTAGTGATGAATAATGAGTAAGAACAAATATAAATTTGTTCTTACATATGTAAGAGATGATCCAATCAGTAGCTAATGTACTTGCATATTTACAATTAATAAATAAGAGTGGCAATATCAGAGCTTCCGAGAGAACCATCACTAGCTAATGAAAATGTGGTCTCACTGAAGTTCCATCTTGCAGACATTTGTGGGTATGATTTGATTAACCTCTCAAGTGTGTGTTGGATATCAAGCTCTTGTGGAATCATTTCTTTGTGGCTCTGGCTTCAGTGGATGGTAATATTTTTGAACGTTGGAATAGGCTGCTGTTTTTCTCTTGTTTCATGTTTCAGTTGAAAAGGTAAAAGAATATACAGATGTAAATTCCAGCCATGGGAAACATTCGTGATTTCTTTGATCATAAGCACATATGATCTAACAGAAAAATCTGTAAAGGTAAAGAAGTATTAAATGTTATTCATAATTGATCTATAATTAATTGAATGAAAATAATAATTACACAAGAAATAATAAAGATCTTGGCTAAAATTTAGAAGAATCCATAAGAAACATATTTTAAAACAGACAAAGCTAGAAAAAGGTTTTTATTCTAAACTAATAGTTATTATCAAACTCTATTGTAGACTATTCAATATACTGCTTTAAAATTAAAAACTTAAATAAAAATGGCTAATATAATTATATTATAATTGTTATTTTTGTGATTGTAGAAATTTTTGTTGATGCAGTAATAATAATAAAAAGTGATTATTCACAGATTCCATATTGCATACATAAAAAATCCTGAGTAATCAACTCAAAACTATCAGATATAATGAAAAAGTTCACTTAAGGGGCTGGGTAAGAGAAAATACTTAAAATACAAGTGTTCCTGCATTCTAGCAATAACTATTGAAATTATATAATAGATAAATACCACTCACAATATAATAAAAAGATAGGTATTCTGGAGACTAAGCAATAAGCAATCTGGTGAACTCTATAAAAAAAACTAACAAACCGGGACTCAAGGACACATATTTTATACATTAGAGTGGGTGTCCATGGAAGAACGTGGAGGAGAGATTTGTTACAAATGGAACAGAAATGAAGTAGGAACAAAGCCTTGACCAGACCAATGACAATGGCACATCATTAACAGAAGGGTATGTTTAATTCGTCTCCTTGTCCCTGAGGTTAAAAAAATAAAAAGTGAATTAAAGGTAAATGGAGAGTTGGATCATGTTCCTATTCCACTAAATGTTGTGAAAATGGACATTCTGTCCAAATTAATTTACAGTTTGAATATTGTACCAATCCTTGTAAGGCTACCTAGAGGTATTACTGAGCAAGCATATAAAAAATGAAATATTTGTCAATGACAACACTTTTAAATAGCTATATTATGTGAAGATCTCATACAAGAGGAACTTTAAAACAATCCAAGTGAGAAAAAAAGGGAAACGAGGGGGAAAATTACAATTCTTATAAGCAAATAATCCATGTGAAACAAAAGGGGAAGGTAAACAGCAAAGCTTGAGGTCCTATCCATGTTACCTTTAGACCCCTTATCAACGCTAACCTCATTCTACAGAAAGGTGAAACAGAGAAAAATTAAGTCAGTCCCCTGAGGGCACAGCTCAAATCAACAAACATTTATTCACTCCCTGTTAGTGAGAGATACTAAACTAAATCCCAGACATTTCAAAAATGGATAAGACAATCCTCTTCCTCTAGACTTATGCCTAGTTAGTGGAAGAGTCTAGAAAACACTCAGGAAAGTAGACAAAATAGATTTCAAGGCCAGGTCTTTTTGGCATCAACGTTTCCATTAATTCCATTGCCATGCTATGTTCCATATCAGAATACAAGTTAGAGATGCTTGAGGGAGGGAAGAGAGAGAGAGAGAAGAAGAGGGGGGAAAGGGAAAGAAAGGGAGAGAAAGAGGGGAGAGGGAAGAGAGGGGAAAGAGGATGAATTAAATTTTATTAAACAGTAATGTAAATAACCCTTTTTACCCTTAATTAGCAAATATGAAAGCAATATTCATAACACACAGTTTCTTAGGTTGGGCAAAAAACTGGCGGAGTTATTCATCACTATCACCTGTAGCTGCTTTCCAAAGGATTGTTCCTATTTACACAATTTGGCAATGGATTTCAAGAGTCGTGAACACATTTATATAATTTAACTAAATAATGCCATTATTTGTAATCTATTCTTTGAAATTACTTAGAGTGAGGGAAATGAATATATTCATAAAAAGCTTTATTTATTTATTGAAGCATAATTGACATAATATCCTATTAGTTTCAGGTGTACATCAGAATGATTTGATATTTATATATGTTATAAAATGATCACCATGATAAGTTTAGTTACCATCTGTCACCACCAAAGTTATTACAATATTATTGACTACATTCCCTGTGTTGTACATTACATCCCCATGAATTAATGATTCTGACAGGTGTGAGGTGGCATCTCATTGTGGTTTTGATTTGCATTTCCCTGATTCCCAGTGATATTGAACATCTTTTCATGTGCTTGTTGGCCATCTCTATGTCTTTTGGAAAAATGTCTAAGTCCTCTGCCCATTTTTTAATTGGGTTGTTTGTTTTTCTGATATTAAGTTGTGTAAGTTCTTTATATATTTTGGGTATTAACCCTTTATTGGATGTATGATGTGCAAATATCTTCTCCTATTTGGTAGGTTGCCTTTTTCGTTTTGTTGATGGTTTCCTTTGCTGTGCAAAAGCTTTTTATTTTGATGTGATTCCATGTGTTTATTTTTCCTTTTGTTGCCCTTGCCTGAGGAGACTGGTGAAAAAAAATTGTTGCCAAGACTAGTGTCAAAGAGCTGACTGCCTGTTTTCTTCTAGCAGTTTTATGGTTTCAGGTGTTACATTCAAGTCTTTAATCCATTTTAAATTTATCTTTGTATATGGTGTAAGATAGTGGTCCAGTTTCATTCTTTTGCTTGTAACTGTCCAGTTTTCTCAGTACCATTTATTGAAGGGATTGTCTTTTCCCCATTGTATATTCTTGCCTCCTTTGTCATAGATTAACTGACCATGTATATGCTGGTTTATTTCTGCACTTTCTATTTTATTCCATTGATCTATGTGTCTGTTTTCACGCCAGTACCATACTATTTTGATTATGGTAGCTTTGTAGTATAGTTTCAAATCAGGAAACATGATACCTCCAGTTTTGTTCTTCTTTCTCAAGATTGCTTTGGCTATTTGGGGTCTTTTGTGGTTCCCTACAAAGTTTAGGATTCTTTGTTCTAGTTCTGTGAAAAATGCCATTGGTATTTTGGTAGCGATTGTACTGAATTTGTAGATTGCTTTGAGTATATGGACCTTTTAACAATATTAATTCTTCCAACCCATGAGCATGGTATATCTTTTCATTTGTTTTTGTTGTCTTCAATTTCTTTCAGCAATGTCTTATAGTTTTCAGAGTACAGGTCTTTAACCTCCTTGGTTAAATTTATTCCTAGGTTTTTTTTTTTTGATAAAATTGCAAATGGGATTGTTTTCTTAATTCTTCTTTCTGATAGCTCCTTATTAATGTATAGAAATGCAACTGATTTCTGTATATTAATTTTGTATCTTGCAACTTTACTGAATTCATTTATTAGTTCTAATGGTTTCTTGGTGGAGTCTTTAGGGTTTTCTATATATGGTATCCTATCATCTACAAATAGTGACGGTTTTACTACTTCCTTTCCAATTTAGATGACTTTTATTTCTTTTTCTTGCCTAATTGCTGTGGCTAGGACTTCCAATACTATGTTGGATAAAAGTGGCAAAAGTGGGCATCCCTGTCTTCTTCCTTATATTAGAAGAAAAGCTTTCAGCATTTCACCATTGAGTATTATTTTAGCTGTGTGTTTGTCATATATGGTCTTTATTACATTGAGGTATGTTCCTCCTATACCCTCTCTGTTGAGAGTTTTTATCAGAAATGGATGTTGAATTTTTGAATGCTTTGTCTGCATCTATTGAGATGATTATATGATTTTTTTTTTGGGGGGGGGAGGAAGATCAGCCCTGAGCTAACATCCATGCTAATCCTCCTCTTTTTGCTGAGGAAAACCGGGTCTGAGCTAACATCTATTGCCAATCCTCCTCCTTTTTTTCCCCCAAAGCCCCAGTAGATAGTTGTATGTCATAGTTGCACATCCTTCTAGTTGCTGTATGTGGGATGCTGCCTCAGCATGGCTGGATAAGCGGTGCGTCGGTGTGCGCCCTGGATCTGAACCCGGGCCGCCAGTAGCGGAGAGCGTGCACTTAACCACTAAGCCACGGGGCTGGACCTCAATTTTTTTTTTTAGTCTCTATTTCAGTTATTTCTGCTTTGATCTTTATTTCCTTCCTTCCACTAACTTTGGGCTTTGTTTTTTCTTCTTTTTCTAGTTCCTTTAAGTGTAAAGTTAGATTGTTTATTTGAGATTTTTCTTGTTTCTTGGGATAGGCCTGTATTGCCATGAACTTCCCTCTTAGAACTGCTTTTGCTGCATCCTATAGATTTTGGAAAGTTGTGTTTCCATTTTCATTTGTCTCAAGGTATTTTTTGATTTCCTCTTTAATTTCTTCATTGACCCATTGGTTCTTTAGTAGCATGTTGTTTACTCTCCACTGGTTTGTGTTTTTTACAGTTTTCTTCTTGTAATTGAGTTCTATTTTCATACCATTGTGATCAGAAAAGAGGCTTGATACAATTTCTATCTTCTTAAACTTATTGAGACTTGTTTTGTGGCCTAGCATGTGGAGAATGTTCCATGTTCACTTGAAAAGAATGTGTATTTTGCAGTTTTTAGATAGAATGCTTGTGTATACATCCGTTAGGTCCATCTGGTCTAATGTGTCATTTAAGGCCCATGTTTCCTTATTGATTTTCTGTCTGGATGATCTGTCCATTGACGTAAGTGGGGTATTAAAGTCCTCTACTATTATTGTATTACTATCAATTTCTTCCTTTATGTCTGTTAATATTTGGTTTATTTATTTAGGTGCTCCCATGTTGGGTGTATAAATACTTACAAATGTTATATCTTCTTCTTTGGTTCACCTTTTTATCATTAGGTATGGTTGTTCTTTGTCTTTTGTTACAATCTTGTTTTAAAGTCTGTTTTGTCTGATATAAGTATTGCTACTCCAGCTTTCTGTTTCCATTTGTGTGGGATATCTTTTTCCATCCCTTCATTTTCATTCTGTGTATGTGTCTTTAGATCTGAAGTGAGTCTTTTGTAGGCATTATGTAGATGGGTCTTGTTTTATTATCCATTCAGCCACGCTATGTCTTTTGATTGGAGCATTTACATATAAAGTAATTATTGATAGGTATGTAATTATAGCCATTTTGTTAGTTGTTTTCTGGTTGTTTTTGTAGTTCTCTGTCCCTTTTTTCTTCTTTTGGTGTCTTCCCTTGTGGTTTGATGGTTTTCTTGAGTGTTATGTTTGGGTTCCTTTTTTTTATTTTTTGTGTATCTGTTGTAGGCTTTTGGTTTGTGGTTATGATGAGGTTCATATATATTGAACTATCCATATAACAGTCTATTTTAAGGTGAAAGTTTCTGAAGTTCAAACACATTCTAAAAGCACTACGTTTTTATCACCCTTTTCTTTTATGTTTTTGATGTCATATTTTACATCTTTTTATTTTGTGTATCCCTTAAATACCTATTGTAGTTATAACTGATCTCACTACAAAAGACTTATTTTTATCAATAATTAAATATAAAGGGGAAAGTATGAGATAAATATTTACAGTGGGGGACTATGTTAATCTATGGTAGTAAAAATGTTCAATAGGATATCAAACCACTATTGCATATTATGATGAGAGAAAGTGAGAGAGAGAAAAAAGGAAGGAAACCATGGAAATAAACCTGCTTAATTGGGTGATAATAAAAGTTAATTGGTGTGTCCTCTATTTTTCATAATAAAATGATTGTATTTTAAATTAAAAAAAATACCCAATGCAACTAAATCCACAATATATTAGTTTCAAATGGATTAAGGAAGAATGTTATAACATAAACTTTATTCCACATTGAGTGTCCTCCACATGAGAGACGAAAAATGTGGTAGGATTTTTAAGTATCTTCTAAAACTCCAACAGCATCTGGCAATTAACCAAAAAGGAACTTGTTTTCGTTTTAATTCCCAGATAGCTTTACTAGTTTCATCTATTTTAATAGCCTAAATTTCAGGCGTTCAAGATTTCCTAAGTTTAAGATTTTATATGGGAAATGAAGACTTTATCCTCTAACAAGAATCATCAGATAAGCAACGACCAAGCTTTTGCAGCCTGTGAACAGCCCTACTACACATCTAATGCCCACTAAGAAAGGTGAAAATTTCCCATTCCTCTTTCTTCTCCTTGGCCCACCCCTCTGATTTTGCTCACACACCTCATGTAAACCTTCTATACGGACAGTGAATTCATTTTTCTCCTGGTTGTCATTTTGGAAATCTCTCTCATTGACTGACATTCTTCAATTTCTTGGCATTCCTTTCTAATAAGAAATGTAAAATTGATAATTTTTAGTATCAGCCACATGCTTGCCTCTAAAAAGTAAATTAAAACTTCATGCCAAATTGTCTGAGGCTGATATTTAATTTGTTCACTTATTTACTCTTTTAATAATGTTTACTAAGCACTTTCAATGTGCCAGGCTCCAGATTGAATCAATCCTCCTAATATCCTCTGCCTTCCGTTGTAGATCCACCAATCAAAGGAGTTTCAACACTTATGGTCAACACACATCCCCATATTCTTGTCCCCATCCTGTTTTTTCCTTCCCTTCTATTGTGACAGTCCCTTGTAGATCCCATTATTAATTTTTTCAGAGTGCCTTCTTGAAATCCTAATTCACTGCTATTAAAGTGTTTTTATACCCTCAAACTTTTCCTTGACTATTGGATTTACCTCTGGACCTTAATTATCTTTCTTCTTACCATACTGGTCTGAACAACCACTCAATTGGAGGTCTTCATTTACATACACACACACACACACTCACCCACTCAATCACACTTCCCACATTCATACCTCATTACTTTGAAGCATCATTTATAGACAGTATTTCTCTGGCTCCTATGCAAGTCTGATATTTTACACCTTAATTTTGTAATGCTCCTTACATTTAAGCACATGAATTTAGTCTACATCACAAGTTCTATGGCACCTGGTTTCTTGATTGAGTTCACAATTAATGAGTTTATGATTCCAACATAGCAACACAGCTCTAGGATTCCGTCTGATCCATCTTCACTTTAGCAGCCCACTCATATAACTACATTATGATCTTTATTTGCCAGGAAGAAGTGTTCTCACTGAAATATTGATCTCTAAATTCTCAGACCACATTTCGTATCCTACCTCCCTCATGCACTTGCTCCCTTCACACCTACTTAACATATTGCTTGGTAAGATATGGGAAACATATAGGATGTTTGGGTAAAGCCATCACCTCTCTGGCTTCACTGCCCTTCACTCTTCAAACAGCCTGTATCTCACTAAAATAATTAGCGACATTCTTACTAGCACCATTGATTGTTTTGTCTACATTTTATTTATTTATTTATTTATTTATTTATTTATTTAATTCTATTCTTTATGCATCATTAGGGAATAAAAGGAATGAATCCAGGGGACTGGACTTAAAGGATTTCAAATTGGGATGAAATTATATACACCAGTGGACCTTTTAGAAAATTATGATAGCGTAATTCTGTTCAATTAAGTATTAGAAAATTCAATCAATAATTAAAAGGTAATGAGATTATTTTTCTTGTATTATTAAAGAAAACAACTTTATTTCCTTTATATAAGTAAAACAATACCGAAAAATACCACGAAGAACTACACCAAATTATGCAATATCCCCCCACTCACAATTTTTAACAGTGTTAACATTTGGTAACACCATTCTAGTCATCTCTTGATGCATAAAAAATAGCGGTAATGATATAAAAATATAATCTTTAAAATCATTAAATGTCTTTCTATCTGAATTTAACATAAACAAAAATATGGTGTGAAACCAAAAAATTGATAAACTTCAATAAGTATATTTTATAGTAGGAGATATTAAAACCCTATATGATTCTACTTATTCTGTGTTAAGAAGTTGGAGCTTTGGAATTTCAACTAGAGTTCAATTATAGAGAACATCAATTTACTCATTGTTATGAAAGATGAGAACATTAGCCCTCTGAAAATTTTCCCATCTCCTGACTCTTGTTTCTTAAGTTTTTTGTTTGCTTGTTTGTTTATTGAGGCAAATAGTGTGTACTGTGTTCTGTAAACATAATTATCATCATTGTTCAGTGTTGATTTTTTTTTGCAGTGTTTGCCACCTGCTATTTTATTAGCCTGTGTTTCTTTTTGATGATTGTGTTAGAACCAGGTCCTCTACTGGCTTTGTGGCTTTGGGCTTGTTGCCTACCATGTCTTTCTTTAATCTGTAATAGTAGTACCTGTCTCATGGGTTGTTTGTACCAGGCAAATAGCAGGAGATATAAAGGTCACTTGGATTCTATTTTAGTTCAGGCTTTGTTTTCTATCATTCATTGCATTTCCCCTCTGTCTGGTATGTTTGCATAGTTTCTACGCCATTTCTTTTCCAGTAGGTGTATGCTTAATATCCAGACTTTCTAATTGTTATGCTATGATATGGGTCAATTTCCCTTGACTCTCGACATTATCTGGGGACCGACCTATGCTTCGAGTGATAGATATTGCTTTTTTATTAACTTTTAACTAATCAGGGGTTCATGAGGGACATAGCTTTGCTGGGGCTGCATGCAGCCCTTGTTTGTGAGCCTGGATTCTGATGTGTCTTTTGAGATCCCTTTAAATGTCTTGCATTAGGAATTATTTTCCCCAACCAGAAGTATAATCTATTCCCATGGGCTATGGCTCATTCTCCCAGTTTGTCCCAGCACCCTAGCAAAGAACAAGTCCCAGTAGCCCTTCCTATGTCTTGGGATTTTAATTGGCATATACTAAAGCTGTTCTCTTAGCCTACATTTTAGCAATTCAGGGGTATGAGTTACAGTTCTCAGGATCTTTTAGATTCACTGTTTCTTCTGAACTGTGTCTGTAAGGTGAGGTGGGGATAGGAACCCCTGTCTCTCATTTTTTGAATTTGTTGGTGTAAGTTTAAACCTTCTCTGCTTTAAGAGGCAAGAGTCAGCTAGAAGATGTATAGTTCTCTAAGAACAGAAGTTGTGTCTAGATCTGTCCATAGTCCATTACTGTCCGTATATCCAGAGGACATTTGGATCCTGTCTTAGGTTGAGTTCCCCAAAACCGGACTCTAGAGTGAGGACTCCTGAGTGAGTTATTAAGGAAACGATCTCAGGGGAAACTGGTTAGGGAGAGAGGGAAAAAGAGTAGAGAAGGGGACGATCTCAAATGAAATGCTATGGAAGCTAGCTTCAGTCCGATCCCACAGAGGAACTCGAAGCAAGGGAACTGGGCTTGCATACTCCCAAATTTACCGCTCTTCTCAGTTGAGGACAAAGGTACTTAAGTCATTCTGATCTAAGTAGACGATAGTAGACCTTGTATAAGAGCCTCAGGCGCTGGCCTTTGGAAGGATGGTGAAACTAGACAGGGGTGGGAGTGTACACAAAAATGAAAAGAGGAATCTGAGGGAATCTGGAACAAGCTCCAACACTATCCCCTACAGATTCCTAATGGCGCAGTTTGACTTTCCCTTTGGGATTCCTCGGATTTCCCTATATTTGAATCTTCCTCTTTTCACATTCACTTTCTCATAGGCTTAGAATAGCAATAAGCCTACATGTAGATAACACTTTGCAAATTCAATGCAGACGCAATAATGATGACTAACCCCTGGTCTAGGAAGTTAACTTGCTGATTGTTTGCATAACTCACTTTTTTAAAAAAAGTTAGCATAATAAAGCTTAATATTTGCATGAGACCCTGCAAAGACATACGGTAATAGTGACTACTATAGGTCATGATGTCTCATAGCCATCCTCCCATGCCTGGTGTAGCTGCAGATGTCCCTAAGAACCAAAATTCCCTATTCAAGGCAATTGTGTTCACAAATAGCAATTGCTCATTTGATGGACATTAAATTTAAAATTTGAATTAGCATGTGAATATTCCTTGGGATTATGGAAACTGATAATTTTTGCACTGGTCATTCCCTTAAAAAAAAATCTACACTGTGGTGCCCTCAGTTTTGACTGTTCTACTGAATATTGCTATCAAGCAGCAGAAGCTTTGCAAAGTTTAGCTCATGAATTTCATTTGACCAAGGACCACATCCTGTATCTGCAGGCAATATAGTACAGATTTAACCTGTCATATGGATTTTAGAGAAAAAGAAAATGTTGGGAAAGGCAGCCTCATGTGCACAGTCTTTTGATCCCCAATTGACTGACTAAAATGAGCCTTGGGCCTGGAACACTTCCTAAGAGAGAGAATCCTCACAGCCTGTGCTAGACATACCACTTTGTGTGAAAATATCTTTTCCTGTTTCAGACTCACTGTGTACTCGTTGTTCTGTTTAAACATGTGCATCATATGGCACCTGGTCAACCCTACTGCTAAATTTGTCCCCTGCATGGAGCGACAGGTCCTCTGTTCTTTGGCATAAGAGGGGGCATACAGGCCAATGGCCC